CCCGCTCTCTCGCGCGGCGCTTTGCGCCTCGCGTGCCGCGTGCGTCTTGCGGCCTCGGGCGTCGGGCGTGTGGGGCTTCATCGGGGCCCGCCGCGGCGTGGCGCGAGCCGGCCGGCGCGGATGGGGCGGGTGAAGTGCGCCGCGCGGAACATCTAACGGCGGGAAGTTAAAAATAACTTTGGTCGAAGGCCGAAAAAGCACAAAACGCGCGCTGGCGGCGCTGAGATCGTGTTGCGGTTTCTTCTGCCACTTCCCGCCGCTGTCGTTGGGGTTCTGCCTTTCTTTTTTTCTTACGGTTTCTACCTCTGGCTACAGTACGCATGAAGTTTCTGGCATGGGGTATGCAAATGCCTTCGACACCGCAGCTCGATAAGTAGTTGGATTGCATTTTGAGCAGGAGCACATGCTCAACATGGGCCGGAGCTTCTACCAGCATATCTTCACATGAGAACTCTTTTTTGTTTTGTTTTTAATTACAGAACTGTGAAATAAACCGAGACCAATTTTAGCCTGCAGCCTCTTGCTAAGCTGCAGCCAACGAGAATGAAAGGAAGACACAAAGAGGCCTGTCTCAACAACATATTTCCGTCTTTCCTGCCTTTCTCTTCTTTAATTTCTTTATGGGCAAAAAAGACCTTTTTTTTCTGAAGAAAAACAGCAACGTGCATAACACAGAAAACAAATACAAGTTAATTTCCAGATTGAAATAACAAGCAAGAAATGGGACTAAAGCATCAAAACGGGAAAATGACACTAATTTTGGGTCAAATGCTTCTTCCTTTTCTTATTCTGGCATATTCCCTCAGTGAGCCCGCCAGCGCTTTGGCACCCGAATCGAGCCGAGTTGAGCTTTTTAAGCGCAGAAGTTCCACGGTGCCATTTGAAGAAAATAATGGCACGGTCAGAGAGCGGGTGGTCCACTCGTTTCGCATTCCCGCCCTTGTTGACGTGGATGGGGTGATGGTTGCCGTCGCGGATGCCCGCTACACCACATCCAACGACAATTCCTTCATTGAGACGGTGGTCAAGTACAGCGTGGACGATGGGGAGACGTGGGAGACACAAATTGCGATCAAGAACAGCCGCGTATCTTCCGTTTCCCGTGTGGTGGACCCCACAGTGATCGTGAAGGGGAACAAGCTTTACGTCCTGGTGGGAAGCTTCAACAAGTCAAGAGGCTACTGGACGTCACACGCTGATGGAAGTGACTGGGAGCCTCTGCTCTCCGTTGGTGAGGTCACGAAGTCTACTGTGGACGGCAAGACAACCGCAAATATCAGTTGGGGGAAGCCTGTGTCACTGAAGTCGTTGTTCCCGGCAGAGTTTGAAGGAACGCCCACAAAAGCGTACCTTGGCGGTACTGGCGTTGCCATTGTGGCGTCTAATGGGAATCTGGTATACCCGGTGCAGGTTACGGACATGAAGAAAAGGATTTCCGCAAGGATCATGTACTCCGAGGACGATGGCAGCACGTGGAAGTTCGCGGAGGGCAGGAGCGAGTTTGGCTGCTCTGAACCCGTGGTCCTTGAGTGGCAAGGGAAACTCATCGTGAACAATCGTGTTGACGGCCGCCACCGCCTGGTATACGAGTCGGATGACATGGGGAAGACGTGGACGGAGGCTCTCGGCACACTCTCCCGTGTGTGGGGCACCTCACCAAAACCGAACCAGCCCGGCAGCCAGAGCAGCTTTACTGCGGTGACGATTGAGGGGAAGCGTGTGATGCTCTTTACCCACCCGCTGAACTTCAAGGGAAAGTGGCTGCGCGACCGACTGCACCTTTGGTTGACTGACAATCAGCGTATTTTCGATGTTGGGCAAGTGTCCATTGGCGATGAGAATTCCGCCTACAGCTCCGTCCTGTACAAGGATGATAAGCTGTATTGTTTACACGAGATCAACACTAACGAGGTGTACAGCCTGGTCTTTGCACGCTTAATTGGGGAACTGCGTCTCATCAAGTCCGTGGTACGGGCCTGGAAGGAGGAGGACACCCACCTCTCCAGCATCTGCACCCCTGCTGATCCTGCCGCTTCGCCGTCAAAGGGTGGTTGCGGGGCCGCTGTCCCCACCGCCGGCCTTGTTGGGTTCCTGTCTCACCTTGCCACTGAAGGCGTCTGGGAGGACGTGTACCTCTGCGTAAACGCAAACGTAACAAATGCGGAGAGGGTTCCCAACGGGTTGAGGTTCAAGGGAGTCGGTGGAGGGGCGCTTTGGCCGGTGAGCCGGCAGGGGCAGAACCGACGGTACCAGTTTGCAAACTACCGGTTCACGCTGGTGGCGACGGTAACAATTGACGAGCTTCCCGAGGATGCGAGTCCTGTGCTGGGCGCGAGCCTGGGCGGTTCCGGCGACACCGAACTCCTGGGGCTGTCGTACGACAAGAATCTTCAGTGGCGGCCAATATACAGGGACGCGCCGGTGTCGCCGACAGGATCGTGGGAATT